ACAATAGAAGAACCTGACAAGTTGTTTAATGACATAAAATATATTTTGTTAGCATAGAGTCCTAACATTTGTTAAACATACGTTTTTCCAACAAATAAAATGACATAAAAACTGTATTTTGACAGTCGATAAAACAAAAAAATGTGAAAGAGGAAACAGGGGCAGGTGTCGCCCTCGCTTTGAGTTTATACTCTTTGTTGCTGCGAGCTGTGGGTGAAATGCGTCCAGAGCTGAGGACTTGTTAGCAAAGAATAGAGTCCTAACATTTATAAAACTTTACTTCTTTATTAAAAAAAACATCAAAATTGTGCTTTGACAAACCAAAAAACAACAACAACAAAAAACCGTTAAAGTGAAAGTGGGGCAGGTAACTAACGCGTGCTGCAGGTGACGAGCATCACCAGCTGCTCAGCAGCAGAGGGAAGCGACACTGTTCAATCATGGCTCCTCAAACGATAAGACAGACATATTTGTTCATAACTTTATTATTATTAAAACTGAGAGTTGCCGGATTTTAGCAAACAGTTGCCGAACGCACCCTGACAAAATGAGAATGGTGCAAAAAAAAAAAAAGAGAGAGAAAAAATACTCCCTGCCGCAAAATGTTCCTCGGGGTCACATGCGCCCTCCCTAGCATTGCTCCGGGCCCCCCCAGGGGGGCGCGCCCCACTATTTGAGAAGGACTGCACTAGAGTAGCACACTCTTAGCTCTATCATTGACAATATTGTTACAAATATCCAAAATACTAAGCTAGAGACTGGTGTGGTTATGTCTGATATATCTGACCATTTCCCAGGTGTGATGTTCTTTAACTATAAACGTAAACCTACACCTTGTCATTATAAGAAAACCAGTAAAGTGCTGAATGAAAGAACCTTGTCACAGCTATGTCTAAGCCTAGAGAATTAAACTTGGACTAGTGTTTTTAATGCATGTGATCCCAATGCTGCTTGCAATAATCTGATTTATGAATTATCAGAAGCTATTAACATAACTATTACAGAAAGAACTGTTAACAGTTGGAAAAATGAGCAAAACCCTTGGCTTACCAAAGGGATACTGAACTCTGTAAAACATCAAAATAAACTGTACAAGAGATACTTAAAAAACCCTAACGATCATAACAAGATGAAGTATCTCTTGTACAGAAATAAACTGACATACATAAGAAGAAAGAGCAAATGTAATTAGTATGCTAACTATATAAATTCAGCTTAGGGTAACTCTAAAAAGACTTGGTCAGTTATAAATAAAGTCCTTAATAGGAGCCAGAAACTTCAGGTGCTCCCGGTATCTCCAATTAGAGATTTCCATCAACTTGCTGACAGTTTTAATAATTACTTTGTATCCATTGGTCAAAACCTTGCTAACAAAATCAAGCATTCCCAGGGAGACTCAAAAAGAATTATCTTTCAGGCAATTACCCACACTTTTTTTTTATTTATTTTTTTTATGAAACCTACTGACGAAGTGAACTAAAAACAATCATTAAAAAAACCTAAAGAGATCTTATACAGCTGGAGCTGATGGGATTTGCAGTAAAATCCTGTATGCAATTTCAAACTCAATTGTTAAACCTCTTGCTTATTGCATCAACCTATCTTTACTCCATGGCATGGTGCCTAAAATGGCAAAAATTATTCCAATTTACAAATCTGGAAATAATGATATTAGTATTATCGCCCTATTTCTCTTCTTCCAACTTTATCAAAGATACTAGAAAGAGTTGTACATAGTAGATTAACTGAATACCTTGATAAACAACTGATTCTCTCAAATTCACAGTATGGTTTCAGGAAAAACTCTTATCTGTGAAAAGAACGCTGTGTTGTGTGATTTTACTGCGAGACCCTCTCTGGTCAAAACCATTGAGGAAACTGGTCGCCATTTTGTGTCACCTCTCCTTAAAGCGGAAGGAGACGCCCACTAGAGGGTTGGGGGGGTTAAGTTTTTTCAGTGTAAAATGCTGCTCTGTTGCTGTTCATTGCTTAAGTGAGAAGACTGGAAACTGTTGAGATTTAACAGCATATTATTTTGTTTAAACCATATGGCTAAAACTCCATTTGATATCTATTGCACTGTTCTGCACTACAAAAAAGAAGCCTAATACTTGATTTGTTTATTATTTAAAAACTCTCTGGACCTAGTCATGGAATTTTCTTAAATAAGATTATTTTGTGGTACAGCAGTTTTCAAAATAAATGATGGCAAAAGGACACCCTATGTTTTTTTTCATTCCTATTGCAAGTTTTATACCAAAAACATATTGTGATATACAAACGGGATTCCAAAAAAGTTGGGACACTAAACAAATTGTGAATAAAAACTGAATGCAATGATGTGGAGATGGCAAATGTCAATATTTTATTCGTAATATAACATGGATGACAGATCAAAAGTTTAATCTGAGTAAATGTAACATTTTAAAGGAAAAATATGTTGATTCAAAATTTCACAGTGTCAACAAATCCCAAAAAAGTTGGGACAAGTAGCAATAAGTGGCTGGAAAAAGGAAATTGAGCATATAACAAACAGCTGGAAGACCAATTAACACTAATTAGGTCAATTGACAACATGATTGGGTATAAAAAGAGCTTCT